GCCATGGAGTCCCAACAAAACCCACATTACTCACGGCCCCACCTCAGCTGTTCACTCCCACCTCGATGCACCCGGTCCTGGTTCTGGAGTTGGTGGCACCGGGACGGACACAGCGGGTCTTGCGGGTCAGTCGGTGGCTCGAGGAGGTGGGCACCAGCTCGAATCCCACAGGCAGGCTTCGGCACCCCGCAGCCTCTGACTCAGAAGAGCCACAGGGCAAGGACGGACACGGGTGGCCCCATCCTGAGCTGCCCCAAGGGTACCTCAGCTCTGCCCTCCCACCCTTTGCTTTGGGGTAGGGCCCTAGTGAAAACCTTCCCCTCTTGATCGATGGCCACGTGTTCTCTCCTGGAACCTTGTCGCCAGTTCTTGACCAGACAAAACCCTGAGCAACCCTCTCATACTGGTCCTGGCTTGCAGCAGGGTCTGGAGACCCCCAGCCCAACTCCACGAGGCTGTGATTTGGGATCGCTACCTTTACCTCCCTCCTCGGCTCACACGCCACAGCACCTGGTTGCTTTAGGTAGCCCCAGGTGTTCACAGCCACCTGAAGGACCCCACTTGGTCACATCCTCCAACCAGCCTTGTGATCCCTTCGTCAACAGCAGCTGCTGTTCTGCAGCCCAGCCAGAGGCAGGGGGGCAACCCATGGCTGCCAGGTGGCAAGGACAACCCCAGAGGGGGACAATCAAGGGCAGGCAGGACAGGTGTGGAGGTTCATCTAGTAGGGCTAGACCAGCCTGATGGCAGAGTGCAGGGAGATCTCACCAAGGAGTGTTTCTCCTCTTCTTCTACCTGCCTGTCCTGGTAGAGCTCAGACACAGCCAGAGAGCTTGAGCACTGCACGGTGGAGGTGGCACCAGGAGGACTCTGTCCTCTGCTTCCCATTCTTTATAAGACATGAAAGCAGGTCCCAAAGAGGTGCAGCTCAGAGGTTACCGGGGCTGGTAAGCAGCCTCCACCCAGGATTTAAACCAGCCTCCACCCAGGCCAGCAAGAGGTGGCACACAGGGAGAGCCGGGCAAGGGCTGGCAAGTTGTCGAGTTGAGCAGGTCAGGTTTCGGTTCCTAAGGGCTGGGGTTTGTTGTGCATTTGTTGTCACCATGACAGCCCTGTCGGGATGAAGCAGGGCCTTTGGCCAGCTCCTGCTGTTCCTCCTGCAGCCCGGAAAAGGAAGCCTGGGAGGAGGCTGGGACTTGACCCGGAGCCTGCGGCAGGGGCAGGAAAAAATTCCACACCTCCTGCAATGTGCTGGAGGAGCCGTGGACACGGCTCCATACTCAGTTTCCCAGGGAAACTTTCCCTTCTTGCGATTTCTGATAAAGTTCAGGACATTCCCAGGCTGTCTGCTGCCTGGAGTGAGCTTAATGAGCCATGTAACCCCGTGTCCAAGACATGGCTTCAGACGCTGGGCTTGCCCCTGCTAGAACCAAGCTTATCTCCCCACCTCCACATGCTGCGACAGCTCCTGGGCGCAGCTCAGGAGAGCACAAGCGCAACCTTGGAGCACCCTCTGCGCTCACCCTCCATCCTTTTTGCCTCTTGTCTCCCCTCCCGGAGCCGTCTCGTTTCGGAACGGCGGCGGCGGCTCCGCCGGTGGGATGAGGTTATCGCGGGCACGCCGCTTTCTCCGCTTGGAGTTGCTACAAAACAGAGGGAAGTGTTTCGGAGGTTGCGCAATATGTACGTGGTCACCCCAGCAACGGCGGCGTCCACAAGGCATTAACGGGGCTTTAGCTGGGTGTGAGGAAGGGGGGGGGTCTGCTGCCCGAGCTGGGGTCCCGGCCGCAATGCACAGCCCCAGATAGAAAGGAAAGGGGGGGGAAAAAATAAAGGTTCCTTCCCTGCCCCGCCTTGCCATTCAAGGCAGCGCCTTTAAGATGCTTTCGGGATGTGTCAAAAGAACAGACTCACCCAAAAATTGTTTCCCCGAAGGAAACTTCAAAGAGAAAATCATGAAACTTGAGCCAGGGCTGAAGATGGAAGCAGAGGGGGTGTCTGTCCCACGCCGAGGCTCAGGGCTGGCGCTGCAAGCGCTGGCACAGCTGCTGGGGAGCAGCCAGGGAGCGTGATTTATGGGTTTAGAGGAGTCAGGGAAAGCTGTCACCATCCTGCAAAGGCGTCGCTTGCTCCTAATGAAGAGCCACAGCATCTTGAGGTGGAAACAGCCAGGCCAGGGTGCTGCCTCCTGCTGATGGGAGAGTTCATGCCCTGGCAAAAAACTTTTTATTTAGCACCGGAGAAGATGCTCGTGGATGTTTCTGCAGCGATGGGGAACTGAAGGACTTTCGCTCCGACCTACCTCATCCAGGGCTGCAGCCACACCGGGACAGGAGAAAAACCCTCAGCACTGAAACCCGCAGGGT